AAATTGACCTTTATTCTGTACTGCTCAGTACTGAGACCTGACCTGACAGACATGCTCACCTCACTCTGCAGGATCATGACGGCGTGGTTGAAATGATGATGCTCAAGGGTGGCAGATGTTCCGTACAGCAGCGCTAGCGCTGACCCAGACCTTTGGGAGCACAACAGAGATCAGATCCAGAACAATTAGCACATTATGCTGCTGTACAAATACACAGGTCACGCTAAATAGACTGCACTACAAAAAAAGAAAAAAAAAATCACGTCATTAGCATTGTGTCTTGTTTTCCAGTAAAAATACCTTAAAACAAACTATATTTACTTGAGAGGCAAAATTATGTAAAATATTTTTTAAAAATGTACTTAAAGTGAATTAAGTTTTTTCATAATCCATTGGTAAATTGGGTAAAAAATGTATTCAAGATAAATTCTCTGGAAACGAACTATAGCATCTTATGCAAATTTCATTCTCAGATATACTGTACATCTGTTTAAAGGTTTGGGGTCAATATGTGTTTTTTTTTTACTAAATTAATGCTTTTATTCAACAAAGATGCATTAAATTGATCAAAAGTGACGATAAAGACTATAAAATAATTGCGATTTCCCAAACCGATCTCATAGCAATTCATGAATATTTTACGAGTTCCCCAATTCGTATGAATTCGAACAAATGAAATGACCTACCCTAACCCTGCCCCTAAACCTACCTGTCACTGGGGTCTAGAGTAGACAAATCGTACAAAATCATATGAGTGAGTTACGAATCCAAATGAATTAGCCACCTCGTAAAATACGTATGAATTGGTCGTGAGAAGCACCAAATCAACATATTCAAATGATTTCTGAAGGGTGCATACTGAAGACTGGAGTAATGGCTGCTGAAAATTCAGCTTTGCATCACAGGAATAAATTACATTTTAAAATATATAAAAATAGAAAACAGTTATTTTGAATGCTAATAATATTTCACAATATTACTGTTGTTGCTGTATTTTTAAACAAATAAATTCTGTAAATAAATAAATTCTGCCTTGCTGAGCATAAGAGATGTTTTTTAAAAACATTTTAAAAAATCTTACCAATCCCAAACTTTAAAATGGTGGTAAATGTTTCTTGCTTTAAAAATATTTAGACATTTGAACTGGGGGAAAAACAAAAGTAAATTCAAATAATAAAATGCAAGTAGCCATGTAAACATGCAGAATTAGGATAGCAAAAAAAAAAAAAAAAGACTTTAACCTTAAAAAGGGAGGAGAAAACACCTCCCATGTTGGCGTTTAAGGTTGTGCAGCCAATCAGACACTCCAGAGAATTGGCACAAATTGGTCAGTCAGTAGAAGTTAGTCATATTAGACAGATGCCAACATTGGCAGGTTACATGATATGCCTCATCCATGAACAACTTTACTTTTACATGACAATTTTAGTGCTATGTTGGTACTGTTGGGTCATTATTTGATGTGCAATGTAAAATCTGGAGCCACTGACGTAATTTACATTGACAGACTTTTGACTCACTTTGCCTGAAAGGCGTTGTTTGTGCCACGATGGTCCAGGTCATGGCAGAAACACCCAACCATAAGCGCAAGAGTCTCGGTGTCTGTCAGCACCTCCTGGAACCCAGCAGTCTGGACCACAACAGAGAAACCTACTACCGCAAATCCTCCAATACAGTGATTAAATTATGGCTTGAAAGATTATTATTGATTTAAACTATGTGCATTTACAGCTTCTACCTGAGAATGTCATTAGAGGGATAGTTCACCCAAAAATGAAAGGTATTTACTGACTCCAAACTCTTATGACTGTCTTTTCCAAAGGTGTTTTCTCTGCCATACAATGAATCTGGATTGGGACAGGGGATGTGCTCTAAAAGCTCTAAAAAGGCAAAAAGCACCTTAAAGGGTTACTCCACCCCAAAATGAAAATTCTGTCATTAATTACTCACCCTCATGTCGTTCCAAACCCGTAAGACCTCCGTTCATCTTCGGAAAACAAATTAAGATATTTTTGATGCATTCTGAGAGCTCTCTGACCCTGCATAGACAGCAATGTAAGTAAGACGATCAATGTCCAGAAATGTAGCAAGGAGATCGGTAAAATAATCCATGTGACATCAGGGGTTCAACTGTAATTTTACGAAGCTACGAGAATACTTTTTGTACGCAAAGAAAACAAAAATAACGACTTTATTCAACAATTCGTCTCCTCAGCGTCACCATAGCGCCATTTTGGAGAATATCCACTGAACGCAAACAGCGTATGCTATTCTGTGTCAGCTGCACCACACGGATACGTTTTCTACGTTTATTCACGCATTGATTTGAACGAAAACAAAGTATCCGTGTATTCTCGTAGCTTCGTAAAATTACGGTTGAACCCCTGATGTCACATGGATTATTTTACCGATCTCCTTGCTACATTTCTGGACATTGATCGTGTTACTTACATTGCTGTCTATGGAGAGTCAGAGAGCTCTCAGAATTCATCAAAAATATCTTAATTTGTGGTCTTATGGGTTTGGAACGACATGAGGGTGAGTAATTAATGACAGAATTTTCATTTTGGGGTGGAGTAACCCTTTAAAACCATCATAGAAGTAATCTATATGACTTGTGCGCAATATAAAATTCAAACAATAACGAACAGAATTAAAGCCGTTATTCACTGAATATATAGCCTTCACTTGTGAAAATAAAGTACACTTTAGCATACTTTTAAAAGGAGTACTTATTATTGAAATAACATACTTCAAAAGTGAACTAAATGTAACATTTCTGGACACTTGCATGATAATTGCAATTAAATGAAAATGTATTACTGTTAAAATGCATTTATTAATCAAAATGCAATCACCTGAAATGTGAGAGTTTTTTGAAGGCACTTAACTAGGACTTAAGTACATCTTAATATGCAATTTCGTAATGATTTCTATGGTTTTAAAATATGGTTATAGTATGCTGCTGAATGTACTGACAAGGATTTGTGATAAACTAAAATATGCTTTAACGCCATTTCTATTGAAACTTGCATGTCATGCATTAAAATATATCTCAGTTAGGCAAGGCTCAGTTGTAGAGCATTGCGTTAGCAGCGCAAAAGGCCGTGGGCTCGATTCCCAGGGAACACACATACTGGTAAAAAGATGTATAGCCTGAATGCACTGTACGTCGCTTTGGATAAAAGCGTCTGCTAAATGCATAAATTATTATTATAAAATAAGTGTTGAAACATGTCAAAAGATTGTTAAGAGATGATGCTGTAAATAAATACAAATCACTTATTATATCTTCAAGTACTGTTTTAAAAAAAATACTTTTAGGATTTGAAGTAAATAACAAGCTCACATTCAATATACTTAAGCACACTCCTTTTTCACAAGGGTTGAAGGTCTTATTTGACCATTCACTTTCATTGTACAGAAAAGAGCAGCTTAAACATTCTACTATTTTTGTGTTCCACAGAAGAAGAAGGTTTCGATTAAATCACTAAGGGTGAATAAATGAGGACTTTTCATGTATGAGTGAACTATCAAACCACATATTTCAGGCCACTTGGATCATCATCTGTGACTTACGGTGATCATAACAAACATGCACTGCGAGACGTTGAAGGCATGCCTCCAGTTGTGATAGGCTACGGTGCGGTAGTTCTTCCTCACGGTAAGCAGCCAGTGGCACAGCACCTGAGCAGGAAAAGAAAGGCACGCTGTAGTATTCACACCATAGCTCCAGACCCTCCCTGTGTTGCCGAAACCAGCCTGCAGCACAGTCTCTCCCCCAATCCATAACCCAGCGCTCCCTGCTTCACACAGCATACATATGTAAGCAGCATTTCACTCTTCCAGTCAGTATAGGGTTGGCGTTTGGCCCCCGCTCTGATGGGGATTGCCTCACCTCATAATCAATTTTGAATTTCTGCACGACACCGAGCTCCAAAAACATCCGCAGGGAGGCAGTGATCATGGCGTCGTTGTCCAGAGAAAAGTCATTAAAGTGGAACTCATCGATCCCGAGCTCACTGCTTAGGGGAATCTTAGCAGCCTGAGACAGGAGAGGGGACAATCTCAGCAACTCCAGTAGCAAGGCAATTAAACACCAGAGTAGAGCCTGATCCACTGAGGGCTCAAACAGAAAGAGTATATTACACTCTGCCATTTCAATTATTAATACTTCATACCAAGTCTGGGACCCATCTATAAATTTTTAGGAAACGTTGGGGGCTGAGATGTTTTTTACACTTCTATCTCTCTAATGTATGAGTTTAATTTGAAGTTTTCATCACGCCTCTCTGGAGAAAAGGTTTCTATATGCTACTGATCTGGGAATCTTATACCAACCTTTTATGGATGTGTTGTATCACACTTTGCAACACTACAGAATCTAGCTCAATCATGCTGTAAAGATAATATCGCACTGGTCATATACAGTAAGTTGTAATGCTGTTGATATTAAATTCAAATGTGCTTTATTGCATGACAGACATTACAGCGTATTGCTAAAGCATTTGTAATATTTACAATGAATCAGATACCGAATGAATAATTTATAAAATTATCAATTATAAAATAGGTAATTAAAGAGTGGTTTACTTTTTGCTATAGTTATAGTTTATTTAAATAGCTTTATTTCTATGCAACAGGACTTATAATACACGAAATAGCATGTGACAAAAATAAATTTTAAATGAACATATGTCTTTTTAAAAAATTAGGTAATCAATAAAATCAATATTTTTTGTTGTTCCTTTGACACATTTTTTATTTCTTTTTTATTTACTTGAAATACAGTATACTGTTCAGGTGTCTTATGCTCACCAAAGTTGCATTTATTTGAAAATAAGTATACAGTAAAGTAACATAAAATGATACAGCAAAAATAGTAATATTGTGAAATAGTATTACAATTTTAAAAAGTTTTCTATTTTAATATATCTTAAAATATAGTTTATTTCTGTGATGGCAAAGCTGATTTTTTTTAGCATCATTACTCCAGTCTTCAGTGTCACATTGAAATCAGAAATCATTGTAATATGCTGATTTGGTGCTCAAGAAACATTTCTGATTATTATCAATGCTGAAAACAGTTGTGCTGCTTAATATTTTTATGGAATCTGTGATACATTTTTTAAAGATTCTTTGATATACAGAAAGTTCAAAAGAACAGCATTTATTTGAAATAAAAAAATTTGTAACATTATAAAAAATGTGTTTACTGTCACTTTTGATAATTTTGCATCATTTCTGAATAATACTAAAAAAACTTTACTGACACATGATTTTTGAATGATATAGTAAATAGACCATGGTCAATAATGTTTCAACATCTAAAACTTTACATATAAATAATGAATTTAAAACATTAGTATATTTTCAGTGCTGAGGAGTCTAGTTTGTATGGACTTAAATTACATATTTTAATCTTACCTTCAGTCGATCAACCTCTGCCTTGGAGCATGTGGCATGATAAGACAGCATCTGGAAAAGACAGAAACAACATTACACTGTGCACACTATGTAACCATACCACACATGCACAATACATTCTCTCTACTGGTCTGACAGATTTACTGTATATGCAGGCAAAAAATTTTACTATTATGTTAATGAGCAGTTTAAAACATAAAAAGAAATACCAATAAGAGATATTACTCACATCTAGAGCCACAGACTGCTTGGCCCAAGTCTTTTTAACCTGGTTATACATCATTGTGTTGTTAATGCCCAGACCACAGAAAATAACAAATGCCTGTGAGGAACAACGGAAATTAAAATTACTCATGCGTATGATTTATGACAGCATCAGTAATGTAAGTAAGTATGTAAGGCTCTAATTCACTTATAAAATATTGATTGGCCATTTTATTCCAACATCAAATATTTGAATTAAGTCACACCTCAAATAACCTTTGATCGGCATCATTAAATGTCTTCCTGTCCAAGCGATTCAGAATCTGGGCAACACCTAATGAAAGTAAGACATTATTTTAGTTGTTGATTTTGTGGGTTTGTATATAAGCAGTTGTGTGGGGAAACTCACCAATAATCTGATGTGTCCGATTCCAGATGGGGACACATAAAACTGATCTGATATGAAAACCAGAAGCCTGGTCCGCCTGAGTAGGAAACACAATGCTTGCATGATACATGTGTGTGTGTGTGTGTGTGCGCGTTTTTGTGACAAATGAGGACATCAATTTGTATAATGACAAAGGTATGACATAGGTATTACAAGGAGAAGGTGACTTTTCAGGACATTACCCCATGTCCCCACTTTTCAAAACGCTTATAAATCACACAGAATGGAGTGTATTGAAAATCTGAAATAGCACAAAGTTTCCTGTAAGGGGTAGGTTTAGGGGTAGGGTTGGTGTAGGGCAATAGAATATACGGTCTGTACAGTATAAAAACCATTACGCCTATGGGATGTCCCCACTTTTCACAAATGTAAACCTGTGTGTGTGTGTTTGTTTGAGTAGACTTGGGTTCATATACATGCTTAAAGGTGCTAGCACTCTTGTGAAAAAGAAGTGCACTTAATTGTATTGAATGTGTACTTTTAGTGTATTTTTTCCCTCTCTATTTCTCAATTTTTTTCTAAAAATTTTAGCTCTATTTAAAAAAAAACCTGTACTTGGAAATAAAATAATTTTGATTTTTTTTTAAATGCCACTGAAGTGTTCTTAAAGAAAGTACACTTTTATTCCTAACTTATTCCTTTACACATAAAAGTGCACTTTGTAATCAAGCCAAATTACAGGCTTTACTTTAAAATACATTTCACATCAGTTTTAATATTTTTTTGTCATTCTTTAAAGAAGTACATTTATTTTGATGCACTGACTAACATACTTATGCACATGTAAACTACTTGATATATTTAAATAGACGAAATATTTTAAAAGTTTCAATAGACATGCATTTACGTTTTACTTTACCATAAATGCTTGCCAGTACATTTGGCAGTACACTAATCAATTCGACAATTAAAGTTATTCAAAGTAATTATAAAATTACATATTAATATGTACTTGAGTCCTACCGAAGTGGGTAAAAAAGCACTCTTAAGTTAAACTAATTGTATTTAATATTAATTGTATACTATAATACCTGTTCATTTAATTGTAATGCAAAACATTACAGTCAGCCTACACTTAAGTATATAATTTTAAAGCATATTTTTCCATAATAAGTACTTTTTTTTTAAAGTATGCTTAAGTGTACCTCTTTTTCACAAGTGCATACTACCTAGATGACTGCTGCTAGTATGCTTGTTTAGACTCAACTGGCAGCATGAGAGAGATGTGTGCTTGGAATCATACTTTGGTTTGGGCCAAGTGATCAGCATGAAACTGGTCTGTGAGGGTGTGTTCTGCTCACCTCAGCATCAAAGCGGGGATCCTGACAGACGTCACTGATGTTAACAGGCAGCCCGGTTGATGCTACCAACTCAGCAATGCTGTTATTGATCAGCCAGTCCGAGCAAGACACCTTCTCCATGCTGACTTTGTCAAATGCACACACATACACACAAACACACATACTGAGCATGGTATACATTAGCTGGCATCCCGCTTACGTTACATATGCTAAAAAATAAAATTTAGCAGTTTGTCAAATTAATAGTCCTGTCTCACCTGATGTCATGATCAACGCTGCACAGTGGAGACATGAGCTCAAACGTCTGGGAGAACTTTACTACCTATGAATACAGTGAGAGAACAATTAGGTTTTGATATTTTCTGAAGAAAATTTGAGCAGTGTTTGCTGTAAAACACTTGCTGTAAAGCAATGCTAGGGTCATTTCAAGGTGTTCATGGTGCCCTCTACTGGATGAACGGTACACATAGTCAGTGACAACTATGCACAAAATACAAGTCACCTGCAAAGCAAAAGCACAGACTGTTTTTTTTTTATAAAGTCTAGCTATATGGAGCACTACAGTGATGACGTATTTTGTAGGCCAACCCAGAAATTAACATCACCCAGATTCCCTTGACAAAAAGTTCAATAGGATTTGATTTTTCCATTGGCTTTTGAATTGTTGAGGAATAAGCTATATGACCAACAAAAGTTTAAAATTCTTAGATGTTAAGTACATCATGATAATCTTCACAAATGAAGACAACTGTTATGAATTTTGAAGCCTGAATAAAATCACCAGAAGTAAAAACTACAGTCGCATGACTTTAAATTGACAATCACTAAGCTTCTAACAACTCTTTCAGTCTTCATTAAAAAAAAAAAAATTAAACGTTTGAGATAGAATAGTTTGCAGGAGAGTGATTATAAATACAACGAGGCTGTAAAAGTGGACTTAGATGCGTAGATGTGTCTTCCTGTTCAGCGTAATGACGCTTAATGTCCTCAACAACCTCTTTATTCCCATTTAGCTACTTGTTAGAAACCAACTTTTTAAAAAGCTTTAAAAAACCACAAAGTGGTAATACGGATGTATTTAACGTCATACATGAAATCATCAAAATATCTTAAAGGGATATTTCGCCCAAAAATGCAGATTCTGTCATTAATTACTCATCCTCATTTCGTTTCAAACCTGTAAGACCTTCATTTATTTTTGGAACACAAATTAAAATATTTTTGATGTAATCCAACCTGACCCTGCATAGACAGCAATGCAACTACCACATTCAAGGCCAAGAAAGGTAGTAAGGACATCGTTAAAATAGTCCATGTAACATAAGTGGTTCAACCGCAATGTTATAAAGCTACGAGAATACTTTTTTGCGCAAAGAAAACAAAAATAACGACTTTATTCAACCATTTCTTTTCTTCTGGGTCAGTCTTCAACGCGCCTTCACGAGAGTATCATGATGCATGCGTGTGCATTTCTCCTTGTAAACAGGTTTGGAACGACATGAGGGTGAGTAATTAAAGGGGTCATATGATGCAATTTGAATTTTTCCTTTCTCTTTGGAGTGTTACAAGCTCTTGGTGCATAAATAAGATCTTTAAAGTTGCAAAGACTAAAGTCTCAAATCCAAAGAGTTATTCTTTATAAAAGTTAAGAGTTACCCACACCCTCCTAAAACACCTCATTTAAACACCCCCCCACATGTCTACGTCACTGTGTGTGAAGATTTGCATAATGCCGCCCAAATGTTCATGCAAAGAAAGAAGGCGTAACTTTTATTCTTGCTGTAGTATTGTTGTTGCTGCCGCCGCCATGTCGTGAAGTCGCTCTGTGTTTCGTTGTGAAAGCGAAACTACTTAGTTTGGCCTTCCAAAAGAGGATGATATCCGCTTCGTCATGCCTAGAGCTGATCCGTGCTGGTCGCTGAGGAAATACATCAACTTTGCGCTGTGGATCGCCGGATTGGCTTTCACCGTGGACGAAGCGGAGTCCAGCCCGGGTCGTCAAATGTGGTTGCCGCAAGCCTCCTTCTTCGAATCCGCCAGCCGCTGCTCACTCTAGCCCGCAGTGTGTTTCGTTGTGAAAGTGATTGTGAAAGCGAAACTACTTTGTTTGGCCTTCCAAAAGAGGACATAATGTTTCTATAAAGTGGGGCAGTTCCAACTTTGCAAGGACAGTCTGGCGCTTCTGACTCACAGCCTGTAAGTAAGTTTTTTATATTTAAAGAATTTGCCACAGATGATTGAAACGCGAGTTTTAAGCAGTGTAGAGTAGGCTTGTTGTTTGTCATTTCTCCGTTCACAAATGCAGACATGATTTTATGTTTACACGGCACAATATGCAACGCAAAGCGTAAAAACACAGTATAAGTCATTATAATCAGTAATTATGTCCCCACTGGATGCTACATGAATGCGTCGTTTGTAATGGGTTTTATTGGTTTTGTCTCGTAGTGCAACACAGTATGGTAAGGGGCGTAACATTTCCGTCACACGCTTGAGGTATTCGGCCAATCACAATGCACTGGATAGCTGGCCAATCACAGTACACCTCGCTTTTCAGAACGATGAGCTTTGTAAAAATCGACACGTTTCAGAAAGGCGGGGCATAGAGGAGAAACAATAATGTACATTATGTGGAAAATAATGTGTTTTTTGAACCTTAAACCGCATAAACACATTGCATTGCACCAAATACACAAATTAATGTTCTTTTTAGCAACATCATATGACCCCTTTAATGACAGAATTTTTATTTTTGGGTGAACTATCCCTATAAACCTTTGCTAACCAAACCAACAGAGCCGATCCTCCCTATACGCAAAATACGCAAGCTGCGTAGGGCCCCCGAAACACCAAGGGGACCCCTTGCACTCAAAGATGATTTAATTTTAGTTTGTTTTTGAATTCGGCCAGTGGTTATGAAAACATGAATGATCATTTCTTTTAATGCAGTGCACTGTCACACTTTCTATGTAAAAATCAGTCAAACCATGTAATGTAAATGTCTTACAGTCTTGCTCGAGACTAAAAACGAGTTGAAAGCGTACCGAGCCGTGGAAGCGACACTGTTTCTCAAGCGCTTTCCACAAGCACGATTCGAGACGGAGTGAAACACGGACAAATGCGTTTCATTCATTTGTTCATAACCACTCATACACTCATACCCCCCCCACATCTAGGATCGGTCTAGGATCGGCACTGCAAACCTATTACCGTGTTTAAATAAAGACTAATGTAAAAGCCAAAGAGAGGATGCCCAGCTGAATTAGTTAAAGGGTTACCTTCGTTCATCTTCGGAACACAAATTAAGATATTTTTTATGGAATCTGAGAGTTCTCTGACCCTCCATAGACAGCAAGGATATTACCATGATCAACGCACAGAAACGTAGCAATGACATCTGTAAAATAGTCCTTGGTGACATAAGGGGTTCAACCGTAATTTTACAAAGCTACGAGAAAACTTTTTGTGTGCAAAGAAAACTATAATAATATAACTTATTCAACAATTCTTCTCCCCGAGTTACTGTCTGCTGCCATTTTGGAGAGTACCCCAGAACGTAATCAACGTAATCAGTGTTGTTTACATTCAGTAGACAGCGCACACATGCTGAACGTAAACAACGGTGATTACGTTGATTACGTTCTGGTAATATCCTTGCTGTCTATGGAGGGTCAGAGAGCTCTCAGATTCCATCAAAAATATCTTAATTTGTCTTACGGGTTTGGAATGACGAGTAATTAATGACAGAATTTTCATTTTTGGATGAACTGTCCCTTTAAGAATGGTGGAAGGTGGAAAGGATGGAGAAAGATAAGAAAACACACAAAATAAGGATGGACCAAAAAAAGGCGATCTCACAGGAGAGTGGATGTCTTCTAGCAGAAGCACAGAGCAGCGCTCACACTGCAGCAATGTCAGCGCACGCTGCATGATCTTTCTGACAATCTTCTCCAGGTCCGTCTGCTCCTCAAACAGATCATTCACCACCTCCAGCAGGGCCTTGAGGAACATCAGCAACAGCTCGAAATGTATTCAGATAACACAGGCCTTCAAGCAGATTATTAAATATTTTAAACCTTGAAACCTGAGGATTGTAAACAAGCTTACAAAATCAAGCAGCACACTGTCTGAGACGCCTAGAAGTCTAGAGGCAGATTTAAAAATCAGTCTGAAAAACTGGGTTTTATTCAGCAACATTTCTGCAGGTCTTGACTCACCCTGCTCCTCTCATACTCCTTGCGGGATTCGGAGAAGAGTTTGGCGTTGGAGATCGATATTCCACAGAATGGTAGATACATTTGAAGCACCTGTAGAGAGAAGTGTGATGCTTTCAAAGCTTTAGTTTGATTGATGCATGACGGTGAGATATTGAGAGGGGGGGGAAAAACAGCAGAAGGACTGGAGGCATCACATCAGTTCATCAGTTTATTTCTAGGGCATTTATAACAGCACAGCCTGTGTATCTGCTTTCAGTGCTGCTTGGCATAAATAATTCTAAAGAGAAATGCTGTGCTATTAATTACTATCTATAGAGAGCTGTTTTGAAGCAGCAATGAAAGTGAAGGGCTGAGATGTGCGGGTACAGACTGACTTGTGCCCAGAGACTGCAGTACTGGATCTGCTACACTGAAATGTAAGATTCTGAGGTATGACATTCACATGTGCTGATTTAGCCAATGACAAAGATGACCTCTGTTCTGAGAACAATTTAGAGCAGGTGAATTCCAAATGGTGGTATTGCACCCTTGACAGGCATGGGACGTCATTTTTAGGGGTATTCCAAAAGAAAGTGAATAACTAAATTCCCTTCATTAAGGACCTTTTCACGAATGGTATAATAAGTTCACTTCAAGGAATTTTATAATTTATGGTCATGTGATGACCTCCAATTGTTACCTTAAAGGGCTATTTCTACCTGATTTCACTCATAAAATGTAGCTTTGTTAGTATAAATTACTGTATTTAGGTTGATTCAACAAAATTAAATAATATTCCAGACTTAAAATCAGTTAATTTAGATATTTCTGTTTTTAGGTTACCATTTTTTTTCAGGGTAAGAACAGCTAATGGGATGAAGGACGCCGCATCACATTGCACCGGAAAAAAATAGTAACCTAAAAAAAAAT